CAACAGTGTGATGAACATGTCCTTCAACAAAAAACTGTGGATTCCTCCTTTCACCACGTCGCCTTCTAACCCTGGCACGACCATCGGGCATGCCTAAACAAAATCGAGACTCGTCACTAAGGACAATACTGTTCCATTACTGATCCCAGAGTGACCGTTGTCTGCACCACTCAAGGCGATTACGTCGGTGTTCTCGAGTTAAAGGGAGGACCCAGTGTGGCCGGTATGAAAACAAGCCAAAACTTCTCATTCATCGGTAAACACTTCGCATGCCAATAGGTCTTCCGTGTTCTGCAAACCATTCATTTGCAATGGACCTGGTAGTGGAGAAACGGTCTCTTAAGGCCAATAATCTTAGGCGGCGATCTTCACGGTCTGTTGTTCTACGGCGGCGTCCAGTGCCCCTTGCTCTTTGCGTACGGCCTTCTCGAAGCCATGCCTGATAACACCTAACCACAGTGTCTACACTTCTTTGCACTCTAACTACAATTGCCCGAAAAGAAAGTCCAGCTTCCCGAAGTCCCACTATACGGCCCCTATCAAACTCACTAAGTTGACGAAATCGTACAGGTCTCCGTACTCTAGGCATCGTAACCGATCGTAAATGATGTCAAGAACCAAAATCCGCCAACGTTGATTCTTTACTGCGGCTGAAATATTCATTTTTAGAGCGTTAGTGAATTAAAAAAAAGCAGTATAAAAACCGGAATGTCCAACTGATAAGGCTGAAAATTTTTCACTTGTTATTTACAGTAAGATAAATACATTCACCAACTTTTATTAAAATAAAACCATTTAAACTGGGTGTTCGGATTTATATGTCACTTAGTATATACTCGTACTTATAAATGCTTAAAATGCGGTATGTCACATGGTAAAATGCATTGTCCAGCTTTTGGTAAAAAGTGTAACAATTGTGGTAAGCCTAATCATTTTATAATTGGCTGTAAATTTAAGAAATCAAGTCAGTTAGGAACTTCACAGTCAGGACAGTCTAACAAGTCTAATAAGTTTAGTAATGGGAGACATGAAGACAGTGATAGTTCTGGGGGTGATGAATCGCCTTTTATTGACTATATTGTGCTAGACTCTATTAATGGTAGTGTTGATAAAATCTGGAGCTTTGAGGCAATGATCAACAATTGTAATGTTTCGCTAAAGTTAGATACAGGGACTAACTGTAACTGTATGCCTCTCAGTCTTTATAATATATTGAAGCTAACTAAAAACAAGCATATAAGACAGTCGGTATATCATAATAATAGAGCCAAGTCTCGTCACCTATCACGGTGCTGTTCACATACTGAGATTGGCCCTTATCAAACATTTCCGGCATCTTTCGGCACCAAGTCGTACGACGAGTCTTCCGCTTTTCCGTCAGACTACGCGATACCCACAGAGAACCAAGTTTCATTACGTGTAAATGGTCATGCAGAATTGAATGAATTGCTGGGGATGAATGTGTAAGGTCTCTTCTATTTGTTCGTATGTCACTCTCCGGTCTTCGTCAAGCATTTTCCTCACACCAGCAATGTATTTCTCTGTTACTGACGTACGCGGCCTTCCTTCCCTCTCAGCGTCATCCATAGTGAAATTTCCTCTTTGGAATTCTCTATACCACCTGAATTTAGTCGTACGATGAGGAAAATCATTCTTTAATGCAAGAGTCATTTCTCTAAGCACTGTTCCATGCTTAAGCCACGATGCCATAGTCCGCACTTTACACTGTCGATACGAATGAACAACTAAATCAACAAACGTGCTGCTGGCGGCTACTATGTACTCATGGACATGTCTCAACCTGCAGTAACATGCAGCCTCCTGCGTCCGTTTGTTAAGTCATATTGCACATCGTTTATAGTACCCTTTGTACATTTCCCTCTGCCCTTAATTTTCATTTCAGAGGTACTCAAAAAAATTGCACCTGAAATTAGAAAACCACTAACATTTTTTACAAATTTGATAATTGAATCTGGGATTTTCCCAGACCTTTACAAAATAGGAATAGTAACACCGATTCACAAATCTGGCGGCTTATCTAATATCTACCAGCAACTATAGACCAATAACATTAATATCTAATTTGGCAAAGATAGTTGAAAAAATAATAAAGGCTAGGCTCATTAGTTTTTTCAACAAAAATTAGTTTATAAATGAAAATCAACTTGAATTTCAAAAAAATAAATCTACTCAAGATGCGGTTTTCTTGTTGACTTCAAAAATTCATAAATTATTAAAGCAAAGTAAATATACGTTATGCATATTCTTAGACCTAGCAAAAGCGTTCGATACGCTGGATCACTCGCTACTATTAGAATTAGAGGAAACGCTCAAAACCTTATGAGTTACCTGTTTTACAGAAAGCAATATGTTCAAATAAATGATTCCTTAAGTTCATAAAAAACTGTAACTTATGCTGTACCACAAGGAACAGTGTTAGGCCCGTTATCTTTTACTGTGTATATCAATAGCCTACTTAGCTTGAAGTCGCAAGGCACAATAATATGTTTTTCAGATGACCCAGCGATACTTTATTCTAATACCAATTCCTGGTATAATCTCAGACTGTTGAAAATGACATTATTTTAATTTCAGATTGGTTTAGACACAAATATCTAACAATCAATTTTCAGCCATCCAAGTAGGTGCCGTTCACAAACCTTAAACATAAATAATCGTCATTTAAATCTTTACAAATTAAATGTGACAATACACGTACATTAATACATTCAGCTGATAAAACAAGGTGTTCTTTTGGATCTTCATTTAAAGTGTTGATCATATAGTAACTAATTTAAGACGATTATTATTTAAATTCAAGTACGTCACTAAATATGTAGAGCATGAAACAATGAAGATGTTATATCATGCACTTATTGAATGTCGCCAAAATTATGCAATACTACCTTGGGGTGGTGCTCTCACCAACCAAATTAAGAAGCTGGAAATAATCCCAAAACAATTTTTGAAAATCATTTTTAAATGGCAATTCTATATCCATCTGATATGTTATATTCCGAAGCTAGACTACTCGATCTTAGGAAACTCTTTTTTACAGTGTTTTGATCAATTTATTCAAAAATAAAACAAACCTCATTTCATTGGACCACAAATATGGAACAAGAAGTAAAGTCGAGGATATAAAAAGAACACCATTTACAACAAAAAATGTAGGTCAAAGATGCTTCAGTTACCTCTCCACTAGATCTTATAACTTTTTACCAAGCCATATAAAATCCATTTCAAATAAAAATAGATTCAAAATTGAAATAAAAAAAATCTTGTTAAATAATAATCGAGATGAAATAGAAAAATTCACTAAAATGAAAATGAATTAGTATTTGAATATAGTATTATTACACGTACCTTTATGGTGTATGTTGTGTTTAAATTTATGTATTAACTACATTTAACTGTGTTTAAAGCAAAAATTGTTATGAAAAATGTTTTTCCACGCACAAGAATTAAATTCTTCTGTGGGATTATTTCAGTTTATTTGCGTATATATGCATATTTATTTTCAATAATAAAATGTAATACTTCATACGTAAATAAACTTATATTATTATTTGTGCGTCAATTCTTGAGCGCTCGTGATAGTTCTTGGTTTGAATGTATTAACCTTTTACTTCTTTCAGAGCTATCAGTGAAACTAGATTTTGGTCGGCCTTTAGCTATTGATTTTCTTAGGCTGATTTTCCTTGTATATTTTATTGTGCAGTTGAGTCGATCTCTGTTCCTCACTTATTTTTAAATTCTGATATAAATCTTGAAACGTTTTTATTTTCGGTATCAGATAGTCTTTCCTGACCTGTTGTTTCAAAATTTCGGCTTGCAATTTATGAAACTTTATATTCAGACGCTTTTGTCGAAAACCATGCAGCATGATGAACAAATTACCATATGTAAAGATTAAGTCCGAATCTGAAAACGATACAACGTAATATAGCGAATGATTCCAGGTTTTATCTGGAACTACCTCAAGGTTCTCAAACATAATATTAATCCCTATGGGGACAAAAGGGCGGAACTTTGTTAAAAATCTTTATAAATGATAGTAACAGGAAATGTGCCAGAAAAATATTGTTACAATCAACCCACTGTGCGCGTGAATACAACAATCAAGACACATGTTTATTTTATATCAGATGAAATATCTTAGCTTCTGTAGTAGAATCCATACTGATATATCTTGGATTTTTCAAAACACAACACGGTGGATAACGTAGAACGACACGGATTACACTACAAAAAAGTTTTATCAAATTACTTACCACAAACTGCTAGTTTTGACTTTTTGCCAGCTTTTTGGATGTTCTAGACCACTATACGACACTTAAAGCGTGCATCCAATATCGTTGCGATTGTGGTTATATCGAAACTCATTCTCTCGAGCTTAACAGTGGCGTGCGAAGAAGCACGCCGCCAGAGGGCTCTGGCAATAACCATTCTTGCGCGGTCTGATACTGGGAGATTCAGCACAAACATACAGTATGGATAGCATATAGCGCACCAAGGATTAGCTACGGGGGTGTTCTAGAGTTTCGCATTCGATATTTGCCGTTTTTTTTTTTCGAACAGTGAAAAAATCTCGAACGCGTCATCCATTGTCGCATGGTCTTAACTTCGCGAGACTTTGCCGAATGAAAAATATCGATTGAAGAAGGTGGTTTATATAATTTTTATAATTCCTCCGAGATCCAGCTTACAAGTGTAATGCTGCCGGCTTACGTCGGATCATTATAATTATGCTAAACGGAATTATGGTATAAAACTTGATATCTCATTGAAGATTTGCGAGGATCAACAGCAGTTTTAAGGAACTGTCAGATGCTACTTTATATTTTGGTACAGGTAATTCCATTCATTTCTCAGTTAATGTATGTTCTAGTTGGTAGTGATTGTGTTATTGTATCAACTCTATCAACAAAGGAAAATTAGTACTAGTCATTTTCTTATTGACAGTAACATATTTCTACAGAGGCAGTAACGCAACACTTTTAACGTTTGGGGGCCACCTGTCAGTTAATTGAGAGAAGTTGGAATCACCGTCGTAGAACTGACCATATACGAGGGATGTCTTTTAAGTTTTGCATATAGAAACATAGTAGGTCGCGCGGATCGAACGTCAGTACTGAATCTTAACCTACACTCTTTAGTAAACTTAAATTCAAAGTTTCACAACAATACGTGCAGTGTTCTCATTACAGTGAATTTCTAAGTGTCACCAAGTCATTAGAAAAATTCAACTCAACCGAGAACATTTTCGCGCCATAATTTATTACAACTTTCAGAGACAATCATCGCAACAAGAATGCCTTGCTGAGTTACTGTCTGTTTTCGGCAACGAAGCGCCACCTCAGTCGACAATTTCCCGTTGGTGTGGAGAATTCAAACGTGGACGGGTTAGTCTTAGCGACGATCCCAGGGTGGGTGCACCAAAAACAGCAGTCACCCAGGAAAACGTCGATGCTGTGCGCAAACTCATCATTGAAGAAAGACATGTGACATATCGCGAGATTGAGGCGTCCTTGAAGATCTCAAAGACCTCAATTCAAAAAAATTTACATGAAGAATTACGAGTAAGAAAATTAGTTTTTCGTTTGATACCCCACCTGTTGACTAAAGAGCAGAAAGCAGCCTGGGTTAATCGGTGTCAAAAAACGCTTGACCGTTTCAATTCCGGAAAGTCAAAAATGTGTCAGCATTGTTAGTGGTGACGAATCGTGGATTTACTGTTATGAACCAGAAAATAAACGACAGGCGGTTGTTTGGGTGTTCCAAGGTGAAGAAAAGTCAACAAAAGTCACCCGTTCTCGAAGTGTCTCGAAAAAGATGTTCGCGACATTTGTGTCAAAAGCGGTTCATATTGCAACAATTCCTCTTAATAAGCAAAGAACTGTTACTGCGGATTGGTATACCACCATTTGTTTGCCAAAAGTCACGACCGAGCTTCGAAAAATCAACTCCGAAAGAAGAATCATCCTCCACCAAGACAATGCAAGCTCGCACACAGCCCAAAAAACAAGACAGTATTTAACGGAAGAAAACGTGGAATTATTGGACCTATCCTCCATATAGTTCGATCTAAGTCCTAACGATTTATTTACTTTCCCAAAAATTAAAAACAGACTGCGTGGTCAAAGGTTCCAGTCACCAGAAGAAGCAGTTGATGCATTCAAAAAGGTCCGTTTTGGATCTGCCAGAATACTTCGAAAAACAATAAAGTCATTTAAAACTACCTATCGTGTTGTTTTATTTCCATATGCAAAACTTAAAAGACATCCCTCGTAGAATCACCGTCGTAGAGCTGACCATATATCTAATACATTAATATAGTTATTGCTACTACTGTGAAAGGTGGTGGAGCAGAGAAATCTAGAACAAAGAAACAGTTGCAGTCTATAGCTTTTCACGTAATCCCCAAGTTTAATATGAGAGCAACGATATAGCTTGATAAAAAGGTATATTTAATAACAAAACTAACATGTTTTCGTTTGTTAGTATGATTAATACCTACACCAGCGCATTTTAGAAACAATTTCAAAGTGAATAAAATCAACGATGACGCTTTATTGTAAAATTTTCATGGAAGTGAAGCTTCTGTTTTCAAAATGTGGCATTTACGTAAGGCTATTTCATATAGGTCTTCTCACAGATTTTAACAGGTCACAGTAACATTATAGGAATAACTTTCATAGATCCATCTTCCTCACCCATACATATGCGATCGGCCTCTAAGGCTCGTATCGTCAGTGGTCCCTACAATTGTAGGGCGCGTTTATGGCCTGTTTGATTGTCATCCCCCTTTCACTCCTTCAAAAATTTCTAGATTACACTTGTCCCGTGTCAGCGTCAGCACTCTCCTATTGTGAAGATATGTTTTCTTTTTAAATTGTAGGAAATTTCAGGCTGATAAAACATGATATAACTCAAAAGCAAGCACAATTTGATGCAAATAGATGTTTGTGACATAACCTCAAAATGGAGCTCTGACACGGAGAAGTAGAAAACTATAACAATCAAGGAGGCCATAAACGCGCCCTACAATTGTAGGGACGACTGACGATACGGGCCTTAGTGCGGACATTTGTCTAAATTCAAAGACATAGGTATTTTAGCTTTATCTGATTGCCATGAAAATTTTATTGTCAACGGGTCGTCATTTATGCGTTTCACTGTCAGAATGACAACTTGCTGTCATGGGTATGTGGCTTCTGTTAATCTTCAAAATGGAACAAGGTAGCACATAGATACAACTACAATGTCCTACAGTCTATATTAAAAGTATTTTTAAAAGTGAATGGAAACAACGGTCTTCTATCACCCAATTCATGTGTGTGTAGGTGTGTGTACGCGTGCAAGAGCGAGTGTGCGCAGTTTCCTTTACAAAAGTTGAAGTACTCATAGTAGTCAATCTGTTTAGCTACTGTGTATGACATTGTGACGTAATCGCCAAACAATCGTAAAACAATTCCACATGATCCCCGAAAAATGTAAGTCATCTATTTTAGCTACTAAAAAGCCAATTTTGTCTATGTGAAAAATATCCAAACATCCAAAGAATCCATGCTGGGGCTACAGTAATGGTGGATCATGACTAACATACTAGATATATTAAGTCCAATATGGAGAGTGAAATTGCGCAAATCAATACAGCGAAACTCATGGTGTATGAAGGCTTTTTTATTACTGTCAACTAACTGATTTACAAGCGCACGTCATGTCTAACAGCGATTTATGGGTACTAATTGATAAGGATGCCGCAACAGTTGTAGGATTATATTTTATCAGACAATGACAAATTTTACGGCTGTCGGTAACGATGGGATTTTTATTTTATGACGGTAATAAGTGTCTCTTCGCGGGAAATTTCTTGCGGGAAAATTGATTGCGCAAATTGGCTAATTGTTTCAGCTATTAAATTTTATTATTGAAGTATCCATAAAAGCGAGGTTTAGATGCATGTCCCATGTGTTCGGTAGGGGTGGTTTTACTGGTCCAGTCTTTCGTACCGACGAGATAACATTTGTGTGCTGGAGAATACTTTGTAGGATTAAATTCATACTAAGTGAGAGGTACACTGCTGCGATCAATTGTGTGTCTAAGGCCCGTATCGTCAGTCGTCCCTACAATTGTAGGGCGCCTTTATGACCTCCTTGATTGTCATAGTTTTCTACCGTGTCAGAACTCTATTTTGAGGTTGTGTCACAAACATCTATTCGCATCAAATTGTGCTTGCTTTTGAGTTATATCATGTTTTATCAGCCTGAAATTTCCTACAATTTAAAAAGAAAACATATCTTCACAATAGGAGAGCGCTGACGCTGACACGGGACAAGTTTAATCTAGAAATTGTTGAAGGAGAGAAAGGAGTATGACAATCAAGGAGGCCATAAACGCGCCCTACAATTGTAGGGACGACTGACGATACGGGCCTAAAGACTGATATCCTTACGCATTTAACCCGTTGTGACCAAGAGTATAATAATAATAATAATAATGATGATGATATTTTCTGGTGGAAGAAGCATTCAAAGAGACTTGAGACACTCCAAGAAGGTCCGCCGTTCCCAAGCTTTTCGAAAAGCTTCGAGGAAATCCAAAGAAATTAGGGGCAATTCAAGGATATTGTCTACTTAAATGGGAGGAGGTTCTCAGTATCCAGAGAGATATCATACAATCCAAAGAGATCCAACGATTTTAAGTAATTCGAAGTAAGGTAATCAAAGAGAATTAGAAGCAATTCGAAGAGATCCATTGAGTTTTTTTTCAAATAGAGAAGATCTGAAGTTTTCAAAGACATCGAAGCAATCCAGGAAATCGTAGGTAATCCAAGGAAATCAACAAGGTCCAAAGAGATTTTCTATATCCATGAGATGCAATTCAAATGCAATTAAAGATGCGAGGTGATTTGAAGGGTTTCAAGGTAATCCAAAAAGGTCCAAGGCAATACAAGGATATCCGATTCAAGATAGGAAGGTCCCAGTGGCGAAGCGTGAGTTTTTCTAAACTGTTACCAAAACCAGATGCGAAAAATCTTATTAAAAAAGGTTTATTTTGACCCTCCCAGATATAAGTTTTTGCTTAGTTTAGGTATTGTATTTAAACTCTTGTTAAATTAAGGTAAACATTGCTGGGGCACTTGATATACCTCATCGTCTTATGCTATGACTAATCCAAGCCTTCCGAAAAACAGTAGACGTTTCTATATGTTCGGGTTTTTTTTATCTTTTTTGGCAATTAATGTTAACAATACTCAGTAATTTCCTCTATCGTCAGAGTTATTCCCTTCAAAATGACCCTGAAATGGTCATTCTTGTTTGGCCAAAAAACATACAGCATCTATAAGTGTGCTGCCTAAAAGATTGGTTAAGACAACATTCGATTCTTGTTCTGCCGAACTGAATCAAATTGGCTACACATCTGACATGTAAAGGAGAAATTTCATGCCTCCTCTTTAGAACCCTAAAACTACGTAAATCGTTGCTGGTCCACCCATTTTCTGTGGAAAACAGAAGACATGGCCAACAAAACAATCTGTTTTTCTTGCAACCACATAACCAAGAGTTTTCAATATACCAACTAAATTTTAAATATCGAACTACTTTTTTTAATTCCTTTTTAAAATTATCTAAAATAACTGTTCCATTTTCAATTATCTCCTTTTTTTCTTCAAAATTATATACTTTTCAAGTAGTTGATCGATTACGCAGCGAAACTCATCCATGTTTAATTGCACGCTCACTACAGCCGGCAACCAAAACGATCACTAACGAAGTGAGTACCCACAACAAAAAAAGGTTAACAAATCCACATAATAATCGCAGCTGCCCAAGCAGTTGGGCGACCGGCACTGACGAACTGTCACGTGTATCTATAAACGAAATGGTAACAACCGACAACTAAGTCGAGGCGAGACGCCTTCATCGCGTTCACAAAATCTAGTCAATATTATAGGGCGCATTATTTTCTTGGGGCTAATCCGCTATTTAATAAATTACTAGTACATATTGCTGTTGGTAAGCAAATAAATGAAATTATTTCACAGCACTTAGTCATACATTATTTAGTTTTAAGATTTTCAACTGTTACCAACGGTAACAATGGTTACATGGACGCTTCGCCACTGGAAGGTCCAAACCCTTCTGTATCTGTGCATGTGCAAGTGGCATGTTTGTCTCGGCATTATAAACTAATACTGCCAATTTTACTGTCTTTTAACACATCGTATAGCTATAAGAGGTCCGAGGGAATACAAATAAATCTGTGTAGATTCAAGGATTTTTGAAGAGATCCCAGGAGATGAGGTGATTTGCTCCCTATAATCGTAGGATATTGTGCAGTACAACCCATTCAAAAAAGATTCAATACTACACCCTGTTTAAAAGGAGTCGCCTAAGCGACGATCCAGCGATTTGTAGGGGTTGAAATTTCCATCGTTCAACCTTCTTGCCCTATAGACTACACATAGAACGCTGAGAAGGCCCGACATGCGTACTGAGAGTTGCTTTCCCAATTACACTGTATGCTTTTCGAAAGAAGGCAAGGCTTGTAAGACTAATACTTCACTCACTTTTGCTTCACATATCAACTTAGTCATACTTCGTATATCTCTTTTACCAGAGCAGCCGCGTAGGCAAAGGCCTTATGCCCGTATCGTCAGTCGTCCCTACAATTGTAGGGCGCGTTTATGGCTTCCTTGATTGTCATACTCCTTTCTCTCCTACAAAAATTTCTAGATTACACTTGTCCCGTGTCAGCGTCAGCGCTCTCCTATTGTGAAGATATGTTTTCTTTTTAAATTGTAGGAAATTTCAGGCTGATAAAACATGATATAACTCAAAAGCAAGCACAATTTGATGCAAATAGATGTTTGTGACATAACCTCAAAATAGAGCGCTGACACGGGGAAGTAGAAAAGTATGACAATCAAGGAGGCCATAAAGGCGCCTTACAATTGTAGGGACGACTGACGATACGGGCCTAAATACCAGGGCACCGC